AACTTGAATAAATGACTTGTAAGCATGTATTGAAAGACGCTGATGTTATTTTTTTAAGGCGGACGTTTTACATCACCAGGAAAAAGCCTTCAACACCAGTTAGAACCAGGCACTTCAGCATCGTTGGCAGAAGTGTGTGAGCCTTGGAGGGAAATATGTTAAAAATATAATCAACTACATCAACGCAGTCCATCATAGTAAGGCTCAGAACCAACCCCCACCCCACCCCACCCCCCACCCCCACCCCCACACCCTCGTAAGAGATACACCGGGATGTTAGAATCAGTCACAGGTCCAGGTCAATTCATCAACGTAACGTCATCAGTTTCCTTCGATTAATCAGTGTATCTTCCATCTTGATATTCAATCTTATTTACAGCATCAGCAACCGAAACGTGAACCTTCCATCAGACAGGATTTACGACATCAACAGGACGAACGACTCATTGAAGATATTCACGTGTGGCAGCGCAAATTAGGACGTATTTACGAGGTGTTCGCAACTCATGCGTATTGAGGCTTTGCGACACAAGTCGTAAACTGTCACTCGGTCAAATGGAAATACAATGTCGTCTCAGACGTTTCACTCTGATTGTTTTCACAATAGGGGTGGATTTCAAGACCGTCCAAACATGTATCGCACTGATAGATGAGTATAATGTGGTGGTGTCATTAACCACCTTCACTCACTGTACATATGCCTATACACACCTAGCACCGGGGTTGTGGACGCAATATGTTCACGTCGTCAAATGACGGCTCAATGTTCAGTGTGTTATCACATGATTTATTGTGTTTCTGCGCCACCTGACGGACAAAATGTCAATCCGATCGTTAAGAACTGTTTATGACTTGTGTTTTAGTCCACGCGAATCAGAGCATCACATGGTCTGCCCGAATGCCCTAAATCTGCAGAGGCGACATACAGAATGTCTGAATATTTAACTTACTCAAACAAGGAAGGACTGGTACCTTTCAGCCTCTGCACTGTTCTGCACGATCTGCCTGCTACACAGACAGCTGATTCACTGGAAGAAATGATGCAAAACAAGGATCAGAATATTAGATTCCGTGCTCACAGTACTAGTAGTACTCTGAAATCTATACATCGTCTTGTAGCTAGGTCAACTGACGTTATTGGAAATGAGTGAGTGAGCGTGTGACCTTTGTGACGATATTCCAGTTATTTCACGGCGTGTCAGCGTCATGTGGGAGGAAAGCCCGAATGATGCAGGTCTCAGACGTTTACCGCTTTGGTAAAACCAACGAGCACGGGTATGATGCTGACAAACCTAGAAACATAATTAGCTCGATTCGGGCACGCATAAGGCCAACTCTGCAAGGCGAATTGCGGCGCCTTAGGCCACTATGCCTCCTCATTGGAGATGAGCGGTAATCTTTGTGTCTATTTCGGAGGTAAAGGATGATACAAACACCCTGAATAACCTCCCTCGCGATTAATGATCCTTCCATGGAACTGATCACTGAAACTCAACATCACGCGCCAGTTTGCATTCATGCTGAGACCCCTAACATACATTGAACGGTATACATGTAACGTCCTTTCCATAAACCCATGTAATAAATCGACACATATATATCACCAACACGTCTGTAAGCGTCGATCGCAAATCCTGTATTGTTACCTCTTAACACACTGATCAATTTATTATAATCGTGTCTCCCTGGTGGTCAGAGATATATATCTAAGTCCTTCCTTCTTAAACTATCAATACTCCTGCTGTACGCGCTCCTAAACGCTTATATCAGGCCAACTATGTCCCGCCACTAGTCTATTGTGGCTGATTCCAGGGTCGTTAGAAGCTGACTATGCGACTGTATGCCTCATTGCATGGCGGTTTAAGCCCCAATACAGTCTGGGCGACTTGTTGGTGGTTTTGGTGTTATGCGGGTTATTGGATTAGGGCGTAAGCTTAATAGATAGTTACCGAAGCAAGAGGCCTGTCAATAGGTTTATCGTTGTACGTCGTGGATTGATTCTGGGACCATGTATAAATGGATTGGGGCGTGTATAGGCAAACTTACACATGTTAAGCCTTCTGACATTGATGTTGGTGGTTGTATTTTTTATAAGCTGATATCATTAATGTCGACTGATATGTCGGAATATTAAACAGTTTTATCGGTAATAAAATATTGACAATATTTTAGTTAAATGTGCTGGGAAGTCACATATTTCTCGTCACAGTCTTTTAGAAACATTTTCAGGTACTTGTCTCTTGTAGCCGTGTTTTAGGACGCTTTTTAAAGCATTTCTCATGTCACAATGTTTTGGGATGCTTTTTGAGGTACTTCTCATGTCACAGTGTTTTGGGACGCTGTTTGAAGCATTTCTCATGTCACAGTGTTATGGGACGCTCTTTCGGGTACTTCTCATGTCACAGTGTTTTTGGGACGCTTATAAGGTATTTCTATTGTCACGGTGTTTGGGGACGCTTTTAAAACTATTTCTCAAGTCACAATGTTTTGGGATGCTTTTCTCAGGTACTTCTCATGTCACAGTGTTTTGGGACGCTGTTTTGAAGCATGTCTCTTGTCACAGTGTTATGGGACGCTTTTTGGGGTACGTCTCTTGTCACAGTGTTTTGGGACGCTTTTTAAGGTATTTCTCATGTCACAGTGTTTTCGGACGCTATTTGGGAATACTTCTCTTGTCACGGTGTTTGGAGACACTTTTTAAGGTATTTCTCGTATCATAGCGTTTTGGTGAGCATATTTAGGTATTCCTCAGTCTGAGTGTTTCGGGACGCTTATTGAAGTGTTTCTCATGTCACAGAGTTTCGGGACACTTTTAAGGTATTCCTTCTGTCACCGTGTGATAAGGAGCCTATAAAGGTATGCCTCGTGTCACATTGTGCTATTAAGGCGTGTCTAGTGTTAAGGTTAAGAGTTTTCTTTCCTAATTTGCACAAAAAAACCACTGAAATACATTCAAGTCCAACCTTCACCTTTTATCACTATCACTTCCCCTACATTTCAAAATAGACAAAATATATGCAATTCAAGTATCAAGTTAAAGAAGGTGGGTTCCTATCCCTTGAACATCACCGACTTAACGAGGCCTGGCGTGTTCCCAGTGTCGGTACCTTCTACAGGGCCAAAGTAAAGATGATGCTATCATCTACCTGGTGCCCTGGGTCTGCCAGTGTCGCACTTACTGCAATTATTCTTCTAATAATGACTGGCGAAGCACCAGTTAACATCTTGGAAGAGGTCAACTCCCAGAAACACAGATAAATTACCACAGCTGACGTCAGTCAATATAGTTCACGGGGAAGAGTTATTGGCCAGGGCTGTGAAAACACCAGCCACGTGTTAAAGGATGTTTAACATACTGTTAGTGTTGGTTTAAATAGCTATGCTTCATTACTATTTCCAATTGTAAACTCATAAATTCAGCCGTAAGAATGCCGGATGGAACCCACACTGCCATGCGCACACAGGTGGTCATGTCACGTGACAGATGGCAGCCTCGTTATCATAAATACCTGTCATGGCTACCGTGACGAGAAAATGAAAAATCCATACTGGACTTCAAATTTTCAGAAATTGAGTCATTTCAACACTGCCAATGTCTTATTTCTTTCTTTAGTAATACTATGCAAACCAACGCCTAAATATTCACGATTACATGAATTTTGCGATGGTTTAAACAAACAACTAAATGGATTTAAATTAAGAACAAATAAAGGAAGTTCTTGACAAAAATATGCACCCGAAGTTTATTTATGTTCGTTTGAATCGGAGTACACGTTGAATCGCTGTCTTTTGTGTGAATATAACAAATTGTGAGATATGCAATGAATCGAGACATGCACTGTCATTGCATGGTAAAAGTCCCCTTTCAATTCTTTCTCCAGTGAACACACAGCAATGGGGGTCGATCAAGTTCTGGCAGGTACACAACAGTCACACATACCACGCATCATGCTTTCATATAAGTCTTCACGTTGGTCGGCGGTGATGACCCAAGATCAGACACATTATTATTCTCCGATCAATTAACCGACACATTGGCTTATAGCCTCCACACCCGCCCTTGTTGTCTTAGTCGTCTTACTCGTCAACCGTGACATTATTAAACCCACATTGTAATACCTGCATATCGTATTACCGTCGTTTTGAGGCTCATAAGACGACGATGTGCGTGTTATCGTTGACGAAGTAATGGTAGACCAAGGACGTTCATGTAACGTTGTCGTTATGATCCCTTGGTAAATTGTAAATGTCTTTGTATGAACGAAATATCAACCAGATACGTCGTTCACATGGTAATCAGATAGTGTGTTTAACATGTATAGATTATACTACAAGTAGTCCATTTTTAATGTGGGGCGGTCGGGTAGCCTAGTGGTTAAAGCGTTCGCTCGTCACGCCGAAGACCCGGGTCCGATTCCCAGCATGGGTACAATGTGTGAAGCCCATTTCTGGTGTCCCCCGCCGTGATATTGCTGGAATATTCTAAAAGCTGCGTAAAACCCCACTCACTCACTCACTCAATTTCTAATATCACGGAATCTGATGTAATGAAAAATAACTGATACCCACCAAATTCGTCGCCATATAAGTGTACTTCATCACTTCGGGCTTTCCTCCCACATTAAGCTGGCACGGCGTGATTTAACTGGAATATTGCTCACTCACTCACCCATATAATCTTGAACGCGATGTTAAACCCCATTTCACCTCAACTCTTTCCTCTTTGTGATTATTCAAAGAGTACAGTGTACATTCTTTACAATATATGACTACATTTATTCAGGGTCAAACACAATTCTGATGCTCCAGTTTCGAGAGCTATTAACGCATTATATTGTAAAGAGTTAAAATATGAGTATGCGCATTTTTAGATTGATAAGTTAGTGGCTCAATTGACTCTCTAACCCATATCTTGAATAAACAACCGGATTGACGTGTCTTCTACTTGAAGCTGTTTGCGTGCCACGTTTGAGACACATACCACAAAGGAAAGCATACCGGGGAATACAACTTTGTATTTCTTGTGCGGGTACAGAAGACACAACCAAAGACAGCAGGACCAACATGGTACCCACAACGCTGTTTTCATTGAGCAAATACTTCAGCATATAGTTTCAAAATGAAATTGATTATATCACAGGATAAAACAACAATAGACAATATACACCAACACGAAAAATTACATTCTTAAATGTTTCAATGCATGCAATGGCACTTCAAAAAGAAACCAAAATGACTTTTCCTGGCCATAGCTTATCGAAACACTGAACACCAGATAATATATATGTTTAGAAAATTAGAAAATGCGATTGTTGACAGTAATATACAAGATTCGGATGTACCGAGTGTGGATGTATCGAAGTCACGGATATATCGGAGATTTGACGTTAGAGTTATGCCATTCATGGAGAAAATCATTGATAAGTCAGGTGTCTGGATATACAATGCATCACGTCAATACGACGGAATACCCTTGTACCTTGTACCATGTACCTTGTACCATGTACCATGTACCACGTGCATCGTCATCATAATGCCGTGACGACAAGTATGTCTACATACGATGACCAGATAATGCATGCATTAAATACAGGATTTGCAGTCTTCACACCGATTTGGACATTGTAACATGTCACAGAGTAAGCGTTTGTGTTTTAGATCACAGTTACGTGCGCTGTGCAATGTTCATGGAACATTGATTGTATGTTCATGACACGTTCAAGACGCCACCACTTCTGCAGGCAGCTGTTCAGAGTCGGAAGTAGATGTTTCTGGACCGGAAGTGATCGCAGCTCGTTTCGACTGTTTCTTCGCTCTCAGCTTCCGCCAGTCTGGTTGATACTGGTCTGAGTAGATCTGGAATATGGTGACCATATCCGGGACGATCGTGTTGGATCTCTTGGTCAGTGCCCGGAGTTTGGCCGTGGAAGGGTGGGACCATCTGGTATATGCGGTTTTAGTGGAGACGGGTCTGCCACGTCCGTCGCCTTCCTGCATCTCCGCCAGGAGGACCCCGCGGGCGTCCTCCCCATCAATGAAAGTCTCCGATCTGTCGGGATGCTGGGTGTGCGCCCCGAGAAGTAGTGGCAACCGCAAGGCGCTACCAACCGATAAACACAGTGGGTTTTGTCTGGACTTCACGTGACGGCAAATTGGGGTCCAGGGACGTTGATACATCGTCGTTTCTCGTTCAAAAGCAAGGGTTTGGGGAGTAGCCTCCCTGTCCGGAAGAACTGTCATAGATCTTTCATTGAATCTCAGTTGTAAGCTATGACTTCTACCAACCCAGTCTACGGCGTTGAGATAAAACTCCCCATCCCTCAAGGTCGGTGATGCGGTTCCTTTCGTGAACAGCACATGCGCAGAGACATAGTTCCCGTTCTTACAGGCGAGTAATAGAGCTGTGTAGCCAAGGTTGTTCCTCCTGTCAACATTTAAACCAAATCTTTTGAAAACATCAACAATTTGCCCAACAATCCTGGGATTCCCACTGAGCGCGGAGTGATGAAGAGGCGTGTTCCCGTCCGTGTCTGGCTCGTTGATATCAAGGACATCTTCAGTAAGGATGTCCTCAACTATCTCCTCCTTGCCCTTCATACAAGCATAGCTGAGGGCCGTCCTCCCCATGTTGTCTTTCATGTTGAGATGAGCTCCCTTCTTCAGGAAGATCTTCGCCATCCTGTATCCATATTCCACGTTGTCGATCATGCAGGACAACATCAGCGGAGTGCGGCCATTGATGTCTCTGCAGTCTACATTCGCGCCATGTTTCGAAACCAGCAGACGAACCTGGTGCAGACGACAGTCGAGGACTGCTTGGTGAAGAGCAGTTTTAATCAACCGTTTTGTTCTAGGTGGGGAAAAAGACATCTGGATAGTTTTCAGTCAATTTATGAAATGAAATCAATGTTTAAGGATGTGATCCGTTTCCGTTTTGATATATCTTGCTCACTGTCTGTCACTGAATGTGTTGCGCCATATTCAACGTGTTCCGAATCAGAGACAGAAAAGATGGTTAACAAATCTTTCAATGTCAACAAAATAAGTATCTCACAGTTTGTGTTTCATCGTCAGAAGATCCACCTGGTTCTAAATCTGTAGCTCCTATAGAACGTCGTCACACATTGACACACAGTTTACAACTGGTCCCGGACAAGTTCCTGTAAAGTATCCAAATCAGTCTACACACATCATTGCACAAAACGTCCGCTTGACAGGCTCAAATCTAGCTCTACTGTGAAACCATACACGATCGTCCAGACAACAAACGTAGACCAATGTACTTAACATAATCCCGAATCGTGGATTATAAATCGGCTCAAACTGCGGACGAGTGCGTGCAGCATTGCTCGCTGCCCTCTCAATCCTTTTACGTGACATACACACCTTCAAATCGCCAAACCCATAGGTGTACATGTTTGACGCGACCTGACGCGCACGTGCCCCGTTGTCACGACGACGGTGCCACCCGGATTGGCACGGGGGTTTATGGGTGTCTAATCACCCCTTTCAGTGGGGATTGAATGACAAGTGTATGTAGCAATGAACATGGTATACATTACAAAGATATCACCTCGCTTGACATCACGCTACACAATGACGGTGTTGCGGGGACAGCTTTATGTTTTTGTAGATACACTATGGGCCTTAACCCTTTAAAAGGCAAGTCGTGTTTAGGTCCAACGATAGGATTGCCCTGTGTCGTAGGGCTTAATAGGGTAATAAGATTTATTGAGGCTGATTGTATTGTGTCCCATTGTTGGGATCTATGAGCTTGACTTTTCTGCTATAACAACACATCATCACCATTTATTTTAGTGGTATATTGGCACAGTTATTTTTGGTTTTTATATTAAAGATTAATCTAATGAAAAAGTTTATCGTAGTGGTAATGTTGCAACACTTTATGATTTGGTAAAGTTTTGGAATATTCATTGTGATGATATTCATCATATTTGTAATAATTGTGTTTTGAAAATTTACAACAAAATCGAGAATCAATGAAATTGTAAAATGATGGAAATAGTTATTGATTACCTGTATATACTTAACTTCAATCTTATATTTTATCTATTATGAATCACGGATTTAGTATGGAGCAAATGCAAAACCAAATATTTTTTTTTATTAAAACTATGAACCTAAATAAAAATTAATAAAAAAACATCTCGCAACAATGCATTTTTGTGGTGTGTTTTTTTCAACAGTCTACAGCACAGATTATTTATTTTATTTTTTCGAAAACATCCCACCCTTTGTGTATTCCTGCAATAGGCGATGGAGTTAAGGCAGTCGTGCAGCACTAGGATAAAGCAACTACATACACTCTGACTTTATGTTATGCTCTAAGGTGACAGATATCAATGTATCGTCCATACCATAAAGGGTTAGCTTAAGTGTTTGTTTTAGAAATATCGATCACTGATATTGATACCAATCACCAGGCTTCGATCTGCCTGTAATGACTAAATTGATCAGACAGTTGGTTAAACACACAAATAACTGATCCTAGCTATGGCAGTCACGCAACTACTGGTGTGGGGGTGTGGGTGGTAGAGGGGGGCGGTAGAGAACAATGTGGGATTACACGGATACAATTATCGCTTACGACTCTCGGGCCAGATTACTCGCGTGGTAAAGCGGACAAAACATAAATAAATTTTCGTGTTGTTTGATTTGTAAAGCCGCTGACAACAGACAGGCTGTCGGCCACGTTGACGTCAGTAGTATGTGCAGCAGGGTGTATAGGTGGCACTGACAAAACCCGTCGCAATGTTGCAACTTTCTCTGTCACCTTGCGCTAGGATATCTTTGACACGTAACTCGTGCTCTGCCTCACAGTCCCTGAACCATAATATTATTTTCCCTTCCACCCAGCCCTTACTGTAATGCTATAGATTAAATAAAGCAAGTCTAGATTTCCCGAGGCTCTGGATCTCCCATCTCACTGGGCTCCTTTTAAATTTAAATGCAGTTGTTTGTATCCAACAAAATTATATATGTTCAGAGACAGCGTCAGCTGGCGTCATTTGCAATAACGGGTTTAAACTTCACGAATATTACACTTTATTTTGGCGAGTCACTATTCCAGGTGGTACTAAAGGGGCCGTCAATTTCTCAGCACTATATATATAGATGGGTCTACTATGTACAAACTTGTATCTTACATTTCTCTCAATTCTAGTTGCAAAGGAAAATAAAATAGATTAGTGTAGCCTAAATTTGATGTTAGGAGAGGACATGATGGTGTCAAGAACTGGCACGATAGAAATGATAAACATGTTCAAATCGAACTAAATAGTATGTAAATTCAGTATTATAATCTTACAGAGTACTAACACTAAAGTCTGATGTTCTCACCAAAGTCCGGACAGAGTATTATAATCTTACAGAGTACTAACACTAAAGTCTGATGTTTCCACCAAAGTCCGGACAGAGTATTATAATCTTACAGAGTACTAACACTAAAGTCTGGTGTTTCCACCAAAGTCCGGAAAGAGTATTATAATCTTATAGAGTACGAACACTAAAGTCTGATGTTTCCACCAAAGTCCGGACAGAGTATTATAATCTTACAGATTACTAACACTAAAGTCTGATGTTTCCACCAAAGTCCGGACAGAGTATTATAATCTTACAGAGTACTAACACTAAAGTCTGATGTTTCCACCAAAGTCCGGACAGAGTATTATAATCTTACAGAGTACTAACACTAAAGTCTGATGTTTCCACCAAAGTCCGGAAAGAGTATTATAATCTTATAGAGTACGAACAGTAAAGTCTGATGTTTCCACCAAAGTCCGGACAGAGTATTATAATCTTACAGAGTACGAACACTAAAGTCTGATGTTTCCACCAAAGTCCGGACAGAGTATTATAATCCTACAGAGTACGAACACTAAAGTCTGATGTTTCCACCAAAGTCCGGACAGAGTATTATAATCTTACAGAGTACGAACACTAAAGTCTGATGTTTCCACCAAAGTCCGGACAGAGTATTATAATCTTACAGAGTACGAACACTAAAGTCTGATGTTTCCACCAAAGTCCGGACAGAGTATTATAATCTTACAGAGTACTAACACTAAAGTCTGATGTTTCCACCAAAGTCCGGACAGAGTATTATAATCTTACAGAGTACTAACACTAAAGTCTGATGTTTCCACCAAAGTGCGGACAGAGTATTATAATCTTATAGAGTACGAACAGTAAAGTCTGATGTTTCCACCAAAGTCCGGACAGAGTATTATAATCTTACAGAGTACGAACACTAAAGTCTGATGTTTCCACCAAAGTCCGGACAGAGTATTATAATCCTACAGAGTACGAACACTAAAGTCTGATGTTTCCACCAAAGTCCGGACAGAGTATTATAATCTTACAGAGTACGAACACTAAAGTCTGATGTTTCCACCAAAGTCCGGACAGAGTATTATAATCTTACAGAGTACGAACACTAAAGTCTGATGTTTCCACCAAAGTCCGGACAGAGTATTATAATCTTACAGAGTACTAACACTAAAGTCTCAGGTTTTCCCCCCAAAACGACCCAAACAAATTATCGATCGCCCCAGATATACCCGCGCAATATAAAAAAACCCAAACATATCATGGCCTGAAGGTGGAATTTGTTGTTTACTTACCTTAATTATTGTGCACGGATTCGTCAAAAATATGAACATATTCTTTTGACATTGTTTTAAAGACAGGCTACAAGTTTTTCGCGTTTTTAAAAAAGAAAATATGGTCATAATACTTGACGAAATCTGCTGGAATTGATAGTGTTTCTTCAAATAAGTCATTTTTTAATGCAAAAAACAACAACTTTACAAAAGTGTATGTTCACTGTATATTTATAATATTAATTATATAATGTATTTTCCATAACAATATTGTACACGTTGTTTTGTTTCGAACCAACATGTGACACCCGAGAATCGATCGCCTGCGCGGCAGCAATCATGAAAGAGTTGCCTCCCTTTGTACATTCTCACCTGCAATGAAATGGCAGGCTCTTGGGACTGAACGGGGAATGAGATCGGATGGGAAATGATTGAAGTTGGCGGTAATCATACCAGGACGGCTATGTACATGGTCTGAGTTACCAGTTTGTGGGTTTAGTTTCAGATGAGAACATTACTTCGTTCCAGTGTATTTAACCCTTGGTACTCTACAATACTGGATCAATACGTTATTAAAGTTGGTTCATATTTTGCTATTAATCACTTTTCTTGTGTTTACGCAAATGTTTATTTTCACTCAGATTTTGTTATTTCAATTACAACATTTAGTAGACTGTTTTATGCTTTTGGGAGAAAAATTATAAAGGTTTAGAAAAAGAAGCTGTATTTGCGAATAACGGATAAAAAAATTGGACAAATTGTGTGCTCATTTTAGAGCCCCACGAACATAAATATTATCTCATTCAGTAATGTACCCTTGGGATTTCTCTCAGCGAGTACCCTCTCGGCGTTAAAATCTTTATGTTTAAATGTCCAGGTAATGTTTATAAATGCTAACCATCCAAAAATGTAGTTAAACACAAAACGGAAGATACATCATTAATCAGACGTAGGACATATATACCTAAACGCGTGTACGTTTACCAAATCATCGAATCAATCTGCAAATCGTTCCATCTCTTAGTGGCACATTTCATCTCATCACCTGTCAATCACTGTCAATTTCACCATCAAACAAACGAGCACCTGCTCATTGCATCTGTAATGAACATCGAAATCAATTATATGCTCTATGCTGACAATCGTATTAGTTATTTTTGCATAAACAAATACTTGTAGTAGAGGTATGTTATTAACACCCTGAGTGACAGCTATGTACAACGCCGAGGCCCTTCAACAGGGTGCATGTCAATATCAGACAGCACCGGAGTATTCCAAATACATTTCCACAAATTATCACTGTAAACAACAACGTGTACATTCCTGGAACTGTGTAGACACAGCTCCGAAGAAATGACCGTGGGTTGAGAAAAATAAATATTCTTTTCGGAAAGTATTCATCAAAGGATGTCTATTTAAGTCCATTTACAGACAAAAACCAGGTAATATTAATACAGTTATAATTTTCGATTATCGCGAAACATCATTTGAAATACATGTACGAGTTACCGAGGGAACGGAAAAACTAAACATGTATTTTTGTCATTATTGTTTTGCCGTAAGCACCGGGAATTATAAAGTTACCTTTCACCCATCATTATGGTTCCCTGTGAAGACATCACTGTCACTTTCTAACTGAATTATTTGTTTATGGGTGCGATAGCAGTTTTGTTAATATCTAAAACAAGGACCTAAATAAATCAAATATAACGACATATGTTAATGATATATGCGCGTCATATTTACAATTTCATGTTAACCGTATTATTTGACATTTCTCACGTAGAAATGTCACTACTAATTTTAATTAATC